GGCCCCGGTAGCCTGAGGCCGAACACGTCGAAAGCAGGCCTTGGGCCTGAGGTGGTTGTCTGTGCCCAACTGCCTTTGGCCAGTGTTTGGCCCGGACCTGTATTCAGCCCAGGGCCTGCTTCACATTCATTCACACAAGCGGCCCAGGGCCTGGGTTCACTCAACCAACTGGCGCTGCGCAACTGCCTGAATTTCCTTGAGTAGCGTGGTGGCCAAAAAAAGGGCCCTGCCTTCACTTAGGGCGGCCGACGGGCTGCAAAATTGGGGCCTTATGAGGCTCTTAGAGGTAGTGGCCTCGCATTCCCTCCTCCTTAGCTTCAACAGTCCTCTGAGAAGCTCAATCTTCGATCATAGGGCGCTTTCCCTCCTGCAGAGATCTCTCTTATTGAGTTACAACTTGAGGAGCGGTCTGCATGAGCTCTTCCCTGGTGAACCAGAGGTCCTCCTTCGGATCAGTGTGATGCCGGAACCGAACGCGGTACTGCAGCTTCGGTTTTGGAGGACGTCCCCTGCCTGCTTGTCTTGATACCGGCAGCTCTCTGTGATCCACAATATCATCAATGTCCACCTCTCCGTCCATGGTTGGGGGCAGCATTGAGCAACGAGATGGAAACTGGTCAGTCTCTTTGAAAGGTGCCAGCTTGGAAGTGTGAAAAACAGGGTAAGTACGGAGATGACTAGGAATCCGGATAATGTAAGATGGCCCATCCGGATCTGTCCCGACGATGTCCAAGACTTCCCAAGGTCCAAAGTACTGAGGCGTGAGTTTGCGGGAGATCCCGTATTCCTGTCCCAGTTCTGAAGACTTAACCCAGACCCTATCCCCAACCTGAAATGTAGAAGGCCGGCAGTGTCGGTTTTCGGACTCTATCATCGTTGCCTGTGCCTTCTGCATCTGTTCTACTGCCTGCTGCATTTTCTGTTCATATCTGCAGGCAAACTCTAATGTGCCTGGTGCAGCAGTTGATTCATTCTCAGGAAGGAGAAAGTCAAGGGGTAGTCTAGGCTTGAAAGTCAATAGTAAACTGTTCGGGCTCACCCTAGTGGCACTTTGTACCGCATTGTTATACAGACTGACCATTGGGCTTGATGCAATGCCTCAACATTGGCACTGTGTACCGCATTGTTATACAGACTGACCGTTGGCGATGAGAGAAAGCTTCTCATCCCAGTCCACCTGAATGGGCTTGATGTAATGCCTCAACATGTGTTGTATAGCGCGGTTCAGTTGCTCGGCTTGGCCGTTGGCCTCTAGGTGATTCCCTGAAGTCATTTGCAACTGAGTGCCCTTCCACAACTCGCTCGTAAACATGACATCCCTGTCACTGACAACAAACTTGGGTAAACCAAAGTCTCTAACCCAGTTTTCTTTGAACATTCGGATCACGTACTCTGTATTTGCTGTTTCCGGCATGGCTACTAACCTAGCATACTTACTGAATCTATCCACGATGATGAAGATGTGACGCATCTCACTCTTGCTGGTGATCAGAGTATCCATGAAATCCATGGACAGACTCTCACCAGGCCGTTCCGGAATCGGAAGGGGCTTTAGAAGCCCAAGAGGAGCCTGAGTACGTGGCTTGTCTCGTTGACACACTTGACAAGTCTCCACATACAGCTGAGCATCTCGCATCACCAGAACCGCTGCAGCAAGTTGGCTGCGGTCTTCTTATACCCAAAATGGCCGGTGGCATCATGGCATTCTCCTAAAAATAAACTACGCAAAGACTCTCTATTTGGGACGCACAACCGTTTATTCCCGGCCTTCTCAAGAAACAGCAAACCATTGACCAACTCAAACTCAGCGAAGGTCTTTTTGTCCTTCGCCTCGAGTCTGCGTATGATCTCCGACATGAACTGATCCTTGCGATAGGCATCCACCAAAGAGTGAGTTACATCGTCCGTGAGGTCGAACTCAGTAATCAGCGCACCTGAAAAGTCAGGTCTACGCGACAAGGCATCAACCACCTTGTTGTAATCCCCTTTGAGATACTGGGGGTCGAAGTCATACTCCTCAATGACTTCGATCCAATGCTTCAGAGCGTCAGAAAGTACGGGCTGAAATCTCATCCATCTCAAGGTCTAATGATCAGTCCTGAGGATGAAGAATCTCCCAAGGAGATAGTGTCTCCAATGGGTCAGCGCCTTGTACACGGCGTAGAGTTCCTTCTCGTAGGTGGACTTTGCCAACTTTTGAGACGACATCTTTTTCAACATGTACTCGAGTGGCCTCAACTTTGGCCCCTCCTGTTGGGCAAGCACGGCGCCAATGCCATATTGGCTGGCATCCGTGGTAACCACGAATGGCTTATCAGGATCGGGAAGTTTCAGAACCTCATAGTGCATCAACGCATGCTTCAGATGTCTGAAAGCAGCCTCGCACTTTTCGGTCCACTCCCATGGGGTGTCAAGGCGTGTGAGATCAGTCAAAGGGGCAGCCACTATGCTATAGTTCTTGACAAAGGTGGGGTAGTAGCCTGTCATCCCTAAGAAAGATCTCCTCTCATTCACAGACTGAGGACGTGGCCAATCACGAATGCTGGCCACCTTCGCGTCATCGGGCTTCAACCCTTTCGCGGAGATCTCATGACCCAAGTACAAGACACGGGTGCGGCCAAACTCGCACTTCTCACCGTTGATCTTGAACTTGTGTTGTCGCAGGAGGCTGAGGACTTTGTCCAAATGTGCAACGTGCTCCTCGACAGTCTTACTAAAAATAAGTATGTCATCGAGGTACACGATGACAAACTTATCCAAGTAGTCATGGAATATCCGATTCGTGCCAGGAGCATTGCAAAGGCCGAAAGGCATCACCACAAACTCGTACAGACCGTACCTCGTCTGAAAGGCGGTTTTGTGTTGATCCTTGGGCCGGATTGCAATCTGATGGTACCCGGACTTCAGATCTATCTTACTGAAGTACCGGCACCCTTGCACTATATCTAGCAGATCATCGATGCGCGGTAGGGGCTCTTGGTTCTTTACAATGATGGCATTGAGGCCCCTATAATCAATGCACATCCTAAGTGTACCCTCCTTCTTCTTAGGTACGAATAGTAAGAAGAGACACTCGGCCGGATCCAACCCTTCTCTACGAGTTCCTTGAGTTGGCGGCGGAGCTCATCAAGCTCGCCTGGAGACATCCGATAGATCCTACCCTTCGGAATGCTAGACCCTAAGATAATCTCTATTGCGTGGACGACCTCCCTCTCAACAACCCCTGTCGGCTCTTCAAATAGATCAGGGTACTTGGCAACTACTCCCTCTATCTCCGGCGGCATTTTCACCGGTTCGCCTGCAGCAGAGACATAAACTAAGT